AGTAAACAGGAAAGGTCTGGGGTTGCCCCGAACAAAGAAAAGCATGTGACTGAACGTAAACCAAAACTGAAAAACCAAACAGACAATTCATTCCAAGAAAAGCCCACACAACATCAGTACCACGCAAAACCAAGGAAGCAGCAGAAACGGATGCGGAAAGAGTAAAATGATCCCTCTTACTTGTAAAGGTAGTACTCCGCTTGATCCACTTCCTCTCGAGATGAAATGTTGTCAACAAACTGATGCACAAACAGAAAATATGGAGTTACAGAAAACGTATTTGTTGATTTATCTGTGACAGGTTGACCACAGACAAATGAAATACAGGCGATGTAAATCTAGAGCTTACCCGAGACACAGTTAGAGAACTAACTGGGAGATTTCTGTCGTATGTCCTGTCCATAGTGGCGGCCAGTAAAGCTGGAAGGAAAACAAACAAACAACAAGTTCATCATGTTCTATGCAATCTCATCAGAGTGTATTGTACTGTATGGCTGTGTTTAATCACACCCACACTGTTGAACAGTTTATAATCAGTGCAGTGTTACACTGCCTCCCTGTGTTTATCGAGTGCACACAGTAACGATTCGTGTTCGACCGCTGCATGCGACAAACATGTCTTCAATCTTTTTGTGATGAAATAACCTACAACAATACTTCTGGATGTGGATGTATGTCAGCTACACGTTTCATGTGTACTGGTGCTGTTACAGTACTTGAGTTTAAGCCAGATACAGATAATATAAAACCCCTTAAACAAGTCAACGACAACTTCAGGGTTTCATTTTGTCTTAACACAAAATAAACTAACAATATTTAGCTACACTACATTAGAACTTTGCTTAAAAATAAAACCTAGAATTGGTAAAATTATGATTAGAAAATCTGGAAAATATCAGATCAAGAACAAAAGTCAAGTCAATTTTATTTATATAAAATATCACTAATCACACAATCCTCAGCGGGCAACATAATAAAATCACAGAATAGACAATGAGGTCATCTCACCTGAGTGACCAGGTATTAAATACCAACTTTTGGCACTTGAGAGTTTTCAATACTTTCAGTCTGCACCCAAAAACTACCGAAGTCAAATTTCAGCATTCTGCATCCTTTACAATTCATAATTTAGGACTAAAAAACATCCCATGCAGGAGAGAAACGTGTCCTCCTTTTGCCTGAATTTGGAAGACCGAGTGCAACTTAACTTGAACCCATTTTGAGTACTTTATATCTTGCTTGGTTTTATTGTAAAACACTTTATAACTTGTTTTGAAATAGCTTTTTAAATGCAGTTAACACTATTATTGTCTTCATCATTATTATAACTATTATATTGAATAGTGCTGAGCATTGAGGATCACATTGTTAATTAATGACATTCTGTATATGAATTAGGTTCTTCTGGATATTGCCCAACACACCCTGACCTCTATCCACGTTATCCTCTATCCTCTAGTTATTGTTGTCTGGACCGGTTCTCTCTCTTACCCAGGTTCTGAGGATCCTTCTCTCGCGCCTCCCACACTTTGGTATCTGTGTAAGCTGCCGAGAGCATCCATCTCCTGGCTGCGAAGACAAGCAGTCAACCAGGTCATGCAGATACAAACACTACACGTCTATAAGCTGGCTAACATTACTTTAGGAGACCTCAACAACAGCAAACCGCGTGCTGAAGCCTCAGATTGTTAACTATAACGTTAGCTACATTTAGCTAACGACGTGAACTGGAGACATTTAGCTTCGAAATAATCAGAACAACGACAATGAAAGCCATAGAAATAGAAGGTGAACAAAGAAATACAATCATATTAAACTATGGTTTTATTGTGCCCGGATGCAAGACGTGTTTACCTGAAAGAGACGGAGATAAACATTTAACTTTGACAGCTGCAGTCACACATCGCTTCCAAACGGAGGCTGCCATGTTTGGACGATACCATTTGTTAGCTGGGACGGGGGGATATTTGATAGTTCCCTCAAATTGGCACAAGAGGGTTATACCAAAAGTGAGACACAGCGGAAATAGCCTATTTACCTTATATATTTGTATTAATCATTTGCAACGAAAACGTATGTTGATGATTATTCACGAATAACGTTGTAAAGACACAAATTATTTAATTAATTTCTTGATAATGATAATAATAAGCCTCATCAGATGAAAGGTTTTGGCTTTGGAGCCTGTTTATTTTGTTTTATGGATGTGAAAATATGCATAAAATACTCATAGCCCACAGACCACAAGGTCCAACATCACATTAGTATTTCCCTTTTCAAATAACAAGAACGTTATAGTCTATATTTAGCCGAAATCTTTTCAACTCAGAAGGCTTGAAGGGATGAAGGAACTCTTTTTACAAATCGTTTATCCTTTTTTCAATTTTCTACAAACAGTGTTCTTGGAACAGTTTTTGTCCGATTGATTGACATCAGTGAAATGCTTACATAAATTGGTTGGCTGGGGGGGATAAAGTGTTATATTAAGATAAATCTCTTGAATATAAATTAAATTAGAGCTCAACACAGTACAGTACAGCTGTTGCAACAGTAGAGGGCGCTGTTTATATAAACAGGAGAGGAAGAAGTAGAGCAGCTTCACTTCGCCCTGAAAGCCACTGTTAGTTACTCAGCATCATGGAGCACTGCTTCTCGAGGCTTATCAGGACATTAGATGAATGCAGTCATGTTTAAAAGACTGCAGACAATCCTTGGAATAGTATCACACCCTCAAAGTAAAGCATGAGGGATGATGGCCCCCTAAATTGGGAGTGGAGCTGTTTTATTTTCCACAACATTCCTTTAACGTATATTCATTTCTCTGTGTCCAGCATGGCCTGTGACCTGTTGTCCTCTCACCTCTCGTTCATTGCTTTTGTTTTTGATGATGACGGCCCTCAGCTATAATTACAGCAAGACTTCTTGGTTGTGGGTCAAAGGAGGTGACAGGTTGAAACTCGGGTGGGACAGTTTTGTCAAACAAAACGTGGAAGAATTTCAGCACCATCTCGTTTTCTCATTTGCCAGCAAAACAGGAAGCTCCTCCACGACCTGCACTACAGAGAATTGACAGGAAATGAACATTTCTACACGCACAAGTGGGGATACAGCTATCTTTTCAGAAATATTCTCTATTCTGTTCTATTGTTGTGATTCGTTGGTGCACTGCTGTGACCTCTTGTTGGTATTGTTGGAGCCAATACGTATATCAGAAATCCCATCTAAAACTTCTTCCTACACTGTTCTCCTCATCTGAAAAGGTGTTTGTTTGTGGACGTGGTCCAGTGATGCAAAGAATTCAGATGTATTTGTTTTCAGTATCTCAGTTACATTACATTACATTACATTACAGTCATCTAGCAGACGCTTTTATCCAAAGCGACTTACAGTAAGTGTATTCAACATAGGTATTCAAGAGAACTACTAGTCACCAGAAGTCAGAAGTGCATCTCCTTTTTTAAACGAGCATCTAAGAGCATAAACCAGAGCCAAAGTACAGTGTAGAAACAAACCAATACGAATACAAGTGCAACAAACTAATATGAATACAATAAGCGCTCCTTTTTTATTTCACAGTCTTAGCATCACATAGGGTAACATAGTATAGCGTATCTGGATAGGTGAGTGAAACAGAAAGGCATGTGACACAAAAACACATGATAACAAGTCATTTTGTTGGGGTACTTTTCTCCAGCAATAAGAACTCTATTGCCTGTGACCGTGTTGTTATGCTTGAGATACATCACATGTCGCCCCAATCAATCAAATAAGAGTATCAACCGTATTACGCTGACTAATCATGTTGATTTGGAGTTTTATATATTTGCAGATAAGTTGAAAACAAACAGCATATAAATTATGCTTATTCTTCGCCTCTAAGTGTAGTATAAAAAAACACATAATGGCAAATGCATATAAAGGTTATGGCCTTAATTACAAAACAAAATTGTAAAACAGAGGTTTAAGTATTTTTTAGATGTGTTTAAGGCCAACCACAGCACGTGAACTTTATTTACAGCTTTGTTTGAGTTTAAATGATTTTATTAATCTCTGTGCGGTGCCTAAAATGACTGATTCATAAATCTGAATTCGTCTTTTTCCTAATGATACTATCTTTCCATCTTGTCACGGTTATGATTGTTGTGTGTTTGCAAAGCAGAACAATCAACTGCTTCTCACCACAGGATTCATGTTCCCATCGGTATCTACCTGTTCTCCTGTGTGTCTGGGTCTATTGCATTCTTGTGATCTCCAAAGTTTCGGTTCGTTAAACACACACAGGAGGGATAGAATTACCTTGTGACACGCCATCCTTCCTGAAGTCTCTGTGGTGTGGTCGTTTATGTACATGTTGTTCCCCAGTGATTGCACAACATGATGCTGCTGAGAGGAGCTGATTCCAGATAGTTGATAACAAACTGGGGGCTCCTCTCCGAGCCAGTGGTCTGGATTTGAAACGTGTAGGTGAGGAAAGGAAAGGGGAGGAGGATGTGAGGACTTCCTCAAACTGTTTGCAGTTTCGCCCTGCAGGACGCGGTGGTCTTCACTGGTAGAAATGGAGAAGCTGCTGTTCTGCATTTCATCTGACAAGAAATGGCTCAGTGTTTAACTGAACTGGCAGGGTGAGGTATAATGTGACACCACAGCCCAGTGAGCTCAGTGTTGTTTTGAAACAAAGCGAATAAATGACAGTTTGCTAAATTACTTCATGAAATATAACAAAAGATGCACTGTATGATAATGTATCTTCTTTGTCATAAAAAAATTCTTTCATTCGGAGAATTTTCTGTTTTCAGTGAGGCTTCTGCAAAGAGCAGAAACAATGCTTTATTCGGAGTCATACAGACATATGAAGCCTTTGTCTGGGACACCCACTGTGTCCGTCACTTCTGTTTGATCACAACCTAAAAGAGAGAACGGGAGAGGTGTTTTCTCTTCCTCTTCCTCTGCTTTGAAAGAGAAGCAGGAGGAGAAAGGCAAGCCTCTTGCTTGGTAAAGTACGTGTCAGACGGAGAAGGTTGACATTCAACGGCCGTTTTTATATTCTTTAAAAAACGGTCATGTTTATAGGGTGTCTAAAAGCACAAACAGCAGATTTCATTTAACCGGTTCATGCGTCCAAGCTTTTATTTTTGCATTAGCAGTATCACATCCAGATGATTTCACCATTACACTGCCATACAATTAAAACATGTAGATTAAAAAAAATTATACATTAGACATAAAAAACTAAATCACAGTTTATTTCATAAAGACACCAAAGATTTGAGAAAATCAAGTTTTGTCATATCTGTATCTGTTAAAACCACAATATCCCACAAACAAACAAAACAAAATAACCCCAACACAAGCCCAATTTTTGATTTTGACATCATAGATTTATAAATTTAAAAGTTAAGCAAAATTGCATATTTCAGTCAATATTGCAAAATTATTTGTAAAAAAAATACTTTCAAAAAATAATCATACTTATCCACTCATAAATGCACATTAACCCTCTGTCAGTGACTATTAATCAGTGTATAATATGTTCTGTACATGCGTTACGCTTCACAGCTTTGTATTTCAGTCGCTTCACTGTTAATAACCATGATATGTTCATCTTTCTTTTTTGGTTCTAAGCTACTAAACCACATAATCTAGTTTCAGTTAGACACAGACACACTTTACTTCACTTTCCTGTCAAAAAAAAAAAAACAGTCTTCCCTAAAACCTGCATCTTCTTCTCACTCTTTGTCGAACTGTTACTACTCTTCTTCATTCCGTGGACCCGTAACTCCTAATTAATTCACATATGCGCGAGCGATTCATTATTCCACCTGTCTCTGATCTACTCTGGTTCCTGTCTGCTTGCTGCGTCACAAAAGCCGTCCACCTGCTGTTTGCTTTGCTCTGGCTCGTCTCGCTCTTGGTGATCTACTTCTAGTTCTGCCATCTCGGATGTCTCTTCTGACTGTAAGGGGTGCGCCTGGTCACCTCTGGGATCTCCAGAGTGTCCCTCTGCTGCTGCCTCCCTCTTTTCCTCTAAACTCTGCTGACACATTTCTTTCTGCTTCTCTTCCGGCCTTAGCTCAGCCGGAGACACCTGCCCTCTCTCCTCCAGCTCAGCCATGTACTGGTCCTCGCCTGCTGGCTCATGTTGGTCCACCTCGGGGCTGTACTGGCTCCTTCTGTACAAACTCTCCTCATCCTCCTCCTGACACGAGCTTCCAGGGACGCTCTCGCCATCCGACTGGGAGAGACGGAGGCCGGGCAGGCCCGGGGGCTTCTGGGAAAGGTCAAACGGTTCCTCTTGGCTGAAGCGGGTGAGGAGGCCCATGGGAGTGGACATGCAGAATCGCCCTCTTCGCCTAAACACTGAAGTCAGAGAAATGATTGATTACATCGAGCAACTTTTGCGGCAAAAAAAGAGAATCAATAATCCATCTACAGCATGTGTATCCTTACATCTTTCATCCAGCCCCCTGTCCATGACGCCGTGTTTGACCTTCATGTGTCTGGTGAGGTTTCCCTTCAGCGTGAACTTGCTCGGGCAGTAAAGGCATTTGAAGGGTTTGCTGTCTGAATGGAGATGCATGTGGCCCATTAGATTGTGCATCCTGTTGAACTGCTTACCACAAAGCTGAGAGACAAAGGGAGAAAAGTATGTGGAGCCATATAAGCAACTTCAAATTTTTACATGGCTCACGTAAAATTCAGCTGATCACTGCAGCAGCTTCCTGTGTTCTCCGCTGGTAATAGCATTTTTTCCCGTTTCCAGTCTTTATGCTAAGCGAAGCTAATTATCTGCTGGTTCAAGCTACACATTTACCATACAGACGTGAGAGTTGTATAAATTCATCTAACTACCGCCCAGAAAGCGTTTCCAGACTTGCCCTTTTCAAAGTGTGTTATCGTAACACATTATTACGTATTGATGATTGGTTGTGGTGCGGCTAATTTTGACTACTTTATATACCATTTTAGTCAATGAGAAATGATCATATTAAGGCTCATTATATGTTTTGTATAACAAACTTATATCTGTATATAAAGTAGTATAAAGTAACTAGTAACTCTGGCTGGCGGATAAATGTAGCTGAGTGAATAAAAATTAATTTTTTTCCTTCTGAAATGCAGTAGAGTAGAAATAAAAAGTAGCACAAAATGGTAATGCACAAGTGAAGCACAAGCAAAATAGCATGCAAACACAGTACTTGATTACTTTCCTCCACTGCCTGTCGTAAACACTATTCGGGGAAATAAAAACAATAGGCCAACACCATCCACCTATTGTTTTTCTTTCTCTGTCAAATGTCCTGTGTTAGATTTGCACAGACTGAGCTACGCAATCATGAATGAATGTGCAGGCAGTCAGATATACAAAGACACACACCCTTTCTCCCTCCTCCTATCCTTGTTTTCCTCCTTTCCTCTTTGTATTCCCTGTCTCTCTCTCACTCCCTGACACACACACACACACACGCACAAGAAAAACAGAAAGAGAGAGGAAGCAACATCGAGACAGGGCCAGGAGGAGAACAGGGAAGGGCAAGTCCTGCGCTGTCCTTCCTCTGCATTCTTTTTTATTAGGGTGGTCCTTTCCTTCAGGAGGAGAGAGGGACTGTAAACTGTCCAAGAGGACCGTGAGAAAACAGGAAGCTCCCTCCAGCAGCAGAGAAAGCAAGATGAAATCTATTTGAGGGCCCTGTTCTCCGGGGAGGCTGGGGGGCCATTGTTAGAGAGGCACTTTGTGCGGCAATATCCTTCCTATGGACAAGGAGGCTCCTCCTGCCAAAAGCCTCTCCGCTATCTGGTCATCGTCTCAGTCCAGACTCTCCAGAAAAGTGGAGAAATCCTTAAATAGCAGTTACCACTGAATATTAAAGGTGCTTGGCTGTGATTATCAATGAATACACATTGGTTAATTATGTTTCCAATAAAGGTAGCACCTGGAGTCTCAATGCCGATATCCTAACCCCTCACAGCATTAAATATTAAAGGAGTAGCATGTTGTGAAATACACTTATTTGCTTTCTTGCCGAGAGTGAGATGAAAAAAATAAATAGCATTATTATGTCAGACGCTTAACATCAAGCTAAATATTTTCACACATTAAGATTAACCACATTAAGATTAACCAGCAGAAAGACTGGAAACAAGGGGAAAGAGCTAGCCTGGCTCTGTCCAAAGGTAACAATATCTGCCACATAACCCCCGTAACACCACAAGTATTAAGTTTACAGTTGGATTTTTGTATGAATTTAACGAATTGAGGTGCTAATAGGTGTGTTTTGTTGCCTTTGGAAGGAGCTAAGCTAGGTGATTACCCCTGTTTCTAGTATCTATGCTAAGCTAAGCTAACTATGTGTGCTAACTATTCCTTTCCTCGGTGAGTGAAAGAGGAATTGAAGGCCAAAACAAGACGCAAAGAGCCAACCAAAACCAACCTTGCATTTATAGGGCTTGATGTCCGAGTGGACGATCATGTGAGCCTTCAGAGTCTGTTTTTGGACAAAACTCTTGAAGCACATCTGGCACTGATAGGCCCGTATGTTGGTGTGGATGAGGACGTGGCGCTTCATGTTTGCCAACAGGGTGAACTCACGACCACAGATGCGACACTTGTGCTCCTTCACCCCCTAAAGAACGAGAGAATGTAGAGATAGCGGCTTGAGAAATGTGGTCAACAGTCCGTCTGCTGCTTAAAATCTTAGTTTAGTTTAACCCCACTGATCTTTATTTTAACATCTTTATTCCATTTTTTTGTGGCGATCCCAAAGTTTCCAAAGATACCAAACATTTGTTTTGTGTGTGAAATGTGTATAAAATGACAACTAGACATCAGAAGTATTGGGTTTCAATAAGTAACTCAGTGTAAACATCGTACTGCTTCACATACTACAACATACTTGATATACGTCAAACAGTGTGGAATCACGTTTTTATGCACCTAATGTGGAAATAAAGATGGAAATTGGATGTGAAGGGGTTAAAAATAGCTTCAGAAGCCAGAATTTAAGGGAAAATTGTTTTGAGACAGTTGCCAAAACAACCTGTTGGGCTAACGTCGAAAATATTGGTGCCATCACTACCCAAAATGGGCACAAGGAATAATGGAAATGTCTTGATTTGACAGCAAAATTGATATCTCTGTTTGGTGCCAAAAATCCATGCGATTGCCTCCAACAGCTGTCAAAAAATGACAAAATGCTGTGTTTATATTTGTCCTCCTAATGAAACCTACTTTGTGAGTGAGCGTGTGCTGTTTCAGGTGGTGTGACTGGATGAACTCCATCCCACACTCGCTGCAGATATACGGTCTGATGTCTTTGTGTTTCATCATGTGGTTCTGAAGCTGGCTCGGGTACTGGAATGTCTTCTGGCACTCTGCACACCTGCAGGAACAACATGTAGCCTATACGGTTAACCTCTTTATTGAGACAAATACAGATCTTAACTGTTAAAGCAGTCGTTCAACATGTGTTCGCTTTCTGAAATAGATGAGAAGATCGATACCACTCTCTGTTTGTACGGCAAATATGAAGCTCCAGCTAGCAACCTGTTAGCTTAGCACAAAGACAGAAAACAAGGAGAAACAGCTAAACAAATGTCACAAAATCTGCTTACTAGCATCTCTATTATTATTATTATTATTATTATTATTATTATTATTATTATTATCTATAGTTAAAATATTAAATGTTACTTGTTTAATCCATGTAGTAATAAAAGTGTATATTTAACACATGGTTGTCTTACAGGATATCATGTGGTACATTTTGTTACCATTGGACTGAGCCAGGCGACTTAATTCACCATTTCCATATTTATGCTAAGCTAAGCTAACTAGCGGCCAGCTGTAGCTTGTACAGACATGAGTGGTGTCTACAATAGTTGGACATTTTGTTTCCAAAATGTCCAACTATTGTGTTACGAATACAACCATTATGATATTTCAGCAAAGGGAAGAACCAGTTTTGTGCTCACCTGTACAAGGTGGGGCCGCGATGGGCGGTCAGGTGCCTCTTCAGCTGGGTCAGCGTGGGGAAATCCAGCCCACACTCCACACAAACGTTCTCCTGTCCTTTGTCGTGCTTCAGCTCGTGAGCGCGAAGCTCACTGGGGTAAGCAAAGCCTCTACCGCACACACTGCAGCTGGAGGGGCGGGCAAAGTGAGTGAAAGATCAGCTTCAAAAGAGGACAGTTGAAAATAAACAAAAACAGCTGCAGTAACACATCTACCTGTATGGCTTCACATCGCTGTGCTGCATCATGTGTCTCTTCAGGTGGCTGGTCTGAGTGAAGGCCTTGTGGCACACCTGGCACTTGTGGGGCCTCATACCCTGGTGGGTGAGCAGGTGTGTGTGCAGGTGGCTCAGCTGCTTAAACAGCTTCCCACACAGGTGGCATCCATGTGGCTTGATGCCGTTGTGCCCCAGGATGTGTGTTACCAGGTTGTACTTGGAGGTGTAGGACTTCTCACACATGCGACACTTCCATCTCTTCTGGCCTCCACCCATGTCTACATAATAACTGTCATCCACGTGGACGTTGAGGCCGAGCTTTTCAGCACTGGTCGTCCCACCCCGAGGGGGTCCTTCACGGCCGCGATGCCCGGGGCGGAGGTCCTCTCTTGGGTAGAAAGAACCAGGGGAGAGGTGCATGACGGGGCTGGGCATGAAGAAAGGGTATGGGAAGAGGCTGTGGTGGAGAGGTGGGAAGTAGGGAGGGTGGAGGAGGAGAGGAGAGGGAGGCCAAACAGGGGAAGGACTGAGAGGCTCCTGTTTCACCTGCACAGGTAGATTCATACCTGGCGATCTGTGATGAAGATGCAGTGTGTTTAGCTCGATCATACTGGGGATGGGCTTAGGAGATGGGGAGGGAATGGGTCGAGGTGGGAGGGAGAAGGGGATGTGAGAGAGGTGCACCGTCTTCTTACTGCTGCTTTTGTCTGCCTCCTCGACTCCTCTGTCGGGAGATTCACCTCTTTGGCCGTCCATTTTGAGAGGAGTTCTTTTGCGTTTTTGGGATCCTTCCCTTTGGGTGTAACCCGGACCAAGAAAGAAGGCGGGGGGGCTGAACGCGCCATAGTTGTCTTTGCTTGGTGATGTGCTGGGGTATCTGGGAGGGGAGCATTTGGGGGGCTTAATGTAGAGTGGAGGTGGGCTTAGGTAGAAACTCAGCTGAGATACTTGTCTTTGCTCATCTCTGAGTAGTGGCCTTCTTGCTGGTGAGAAATTCACTCTGTCCGTTTCCATCTTCTCTCTGCATTAGAAAGAGTGCAAGAAGTGGTTACAGTGGTGGAGGAAGTATTCAGATCCTTTACTTAAGTAGACGTAGCAATACCAATGTCTAAAAGTACTCTATAGTAAATGTAGAGTAAGTAAAAGTACTCGTTCTGCAGGAAAAGAGCTCCAAGGCTGATATAGTATAATATATTACATTATTAGATTATTTACTGTTGACGCTAATGATGATCGAGCTAGTTACATTTGAATGGGTGTTGATTAGATGTTTTATAGGTCAAAAAACGACATTTTATCGTTTTTAGTTTTTTTTGCTTTGGGATATATCTTTCCTTTTTTATGTGAAATATTGGATACTTTTACCTTTGGGTCTTGTACATGTATTTAAAGTAAACCTCCTGATATTTTATAAGGGAAATGCCTCTTTGATCCCTTTTTCGGTCAAAAGTTAGGAATCACTGATTTAATCTTTAGCAATTGTATATTTCAAGATCATCACATGTCTTGTTATGTAAAAACTTAATCTGAAAATGAATTATAGCTTTTTGTTACATAAAAAGTACAATATAGTGGAAGGGTAAAGTATCATAAAAAAGAAGAAGTGAAGTACAAGTGCCTCAAAACAGAGTGAGGTTTCTCCAAAGATTCTGTATCTGGCTTCTTTTTCTGATATGAAACTCTGAAGGTTTCAGCGGAAGGTATGTAACTGAGCACACACACAGTCTTGTGTGGGCACCCACACCTTTCAGTGTTCAACCTGAAACCTTTCACTTCTTTTTTTCTCACAGATCTCCTCCTCTCCTGAAAGTAGGAAGTTATCTGTGAAACATTCACCTCTACCTCCCGCACACTTATCGCTTCTCCATGTCTTTTGTCTCTGTCACTGATAGCCAGGAAGAACTTCCCCTTTTCTCCTCCACTGACAATGCTATACGTGATGTTTTAATCTGTATCTCTGTGAGCAGCCTGAAGTCAGTGGTCAATTAGATAACTGATACTTTTAAAACTGTGAAATGTTTAAGATGTCATAGCTATGAATAACATCTCCACTGCAATGTGTATGTGCATACTTTAGTGTAGATGATGGCCATCTGTGAAAAGATGACGCTCGGAAGGGAACTGTCTTACTTCTGCATGACATCTGACATGTGCTTAGCAATTTATTCTCTTCCTGTAAATAGCTCAGTGCTTATCAATGAGAAACTACTGAGATCCATATCAATGCACTGAAGCATAGTTCTAGTTTACTGTCTGCTACATGTTGTATCTCTGTTGGTTGATGCAAATGCTGCAACTGCACTCTCTATACCACAATGCACACAAAATACGGATTATTTTCAATGTCGATTAATCTGCAGATTATTCAATCTCAAATAATCGTTTCATTGCTTGGTCAGAAAATACCAGTTACAATTTCTCAAAATCCAAAGAGACAACTTGTCATTAATGTCTTGTTTTGTCTGACGAAAACCTCAAAGAAATGCAAAGAAAGCTGCAGATTCTCATTTAGATGCTGAAAAATTTAATATTTAGTTTTTTTCACTTGAAAAATGCTTTAATCGATTGATCTATTACCAGGATAGTACATTTTCTGTCGATTGACTGATCACTTAATTGACTATTTCAGCTATGTATCCAGATTCACAATATGATGATGACAACAAGTGAGGATGATGAAGTTTGGGGAAATCATGCGATGAAGATCAGTGCAGAGATTACAGATAAATTGGCATTTCACATAGTTCAGTGTCACACAAAAACAAAAAAACATCTCTCTTATAACAAGGAATATCACTCCATATCAATAAATAATGGAAATACAAGTTACAGGGACACAAGTACTTGAATGTAAATTAATGATATACAGAAAACATAGAATGCAAGAAGAATGTTATTCTGCCTCTTCCAAAGATTCTGCAACACTTTCAGATGCACACTGACATTTTCAATGATTCCCTTTCAGTCTGTTTCAAATGCTCCCCTAGATATGAACCTGGTCTTTTATCCTCTTCACTTTCTCCCACTGAAGGTGAAGCGTGCAGAGACCCCGGGCTACACTTTGCCACACCGTGCATTCCAAACAATCCATTAAAAGCTGAAGCCCCTCCTCATATGCCAGCCAGTGCCATGGAAGTGTGTGTTTGTGTGAGGCTGCAGCGAAGTCTTGGTGTGTGTGTGTGTGTGTGTGTGTGTGTGTGTGTGTGTGTGGAACTCACCAGTTGAGTGTAGCAGAGTGTGTTTTCTGTGATGCTGTTTGGCTGAAGTGCTGCTGTTGTACCTGTACCTGCGTTTCTCTCCCTCCTGCTCGCACTGCAACTCTCCTGACAATGAGCCGCCCGTTCACGGATAGCATTTGAAGTGACTTAAGAAAGAGAACAGGAACAATCACTTTGTTCTCATTTTTCAGATGAGTACCTTCGGAGAGAAGGAAGGAAGGGAGGGGAGAGGAAGTCAACAAGCCTAGTGCCTTCCTGCTGAAAAATAAGGAAACACTAGATAGACATCTCCATTTCTCTATGAAATAGGGATTTTTGCACAGCTTTCGGAGGAATGGCGAGATGTGATGTTGCAGAAGAAAACAATGCAGTTTGAATGTTTAGCAGCTGTGAAGTGGAGCGATGGAAGAGGATCTCAGTCTGTCTCTTAACACAGCTTAAAGAAGTGCATGTTAGGAATGATTGATTTCACACGTAAGGATGAATTAAATCTTTCGTTTTAGATGGAATTGATTTAAAGCACTGAAAGTATTTCAGGTATTTTAGGTTGCAGCAGATACAGTTGATGGTCAGTCAGTTGTGGTGCATATTGTTTATCATAGGGGCTTTGCACAATAACGTAGAGAAAACACCACCTCCGTGAAACATTTGATGTTAAGTTCTTCTTTCTTTCTTCTCTCTATATGGTAATTTTTTGGAACCTTGTGTATGGTGTTCCTGTTATATTGTCCACCCCAGCATAAGCATGACAGATAAAAACAGTAACAGACGAAGGAAAATGAATGCATGGATAGGTTAAATGTGTCACCACAACCACTAGGAGGCAAGAGTGGCCCATTGTCTGAGTGACACATGACAACAAATAAGAAAGTAATGTCAGTCCACGTCTCAATGTCCCTCTCCCCTCTCTTGGCAGAGAAGTTGGCAAACACAGACAATGTTTTGAATTAATTTTTAATTGAGATGAGGTGGCAGTTAGTGGATCGGGAGGGAGCGGCAGTAATTGAGCTCATATCATTGAAACGGGGAAACTGTCTTTTATAGGCTGTGGCCGATCATTAGCTGTGTTAATTAGCCCATAAGACCAATTAACCTCAGACCTGGACAATGTGGGCCTCAATTCCTGTGAGGAATTAAGGACTTTACCAATAGAAAGGAATATTTGTAGGTGTGTGAGTGTGTGTGTGTGTGTGTGTGTTTGTGAGTGTGTGTGTGTGTGTGTGTGTGTGTGTGTGTGTGTGCGAGTGTGTGTGTGTGTGTGTGTGTGTGTGTGTGCGTGTGTGTGTGTGTGTGTGTTTCCTCATCATTGTTTAGGCCGAGGTGCAAAGATGAACTTCTTCTCGTGACCTTTTTTAAACCAGCTTTTTTCAACTTCCCCCATCTTAAATATTAATTTAAAGGAGACATAACACGCTCATTTCCAGGTTCATACGAGCATTTTTGGTTTCTACTGGAACACATTTATATGCTTTAACGTTCAAAAAACTCTTTATTTTTCTCATACTGTCTGTCTGAATACACCTGTATGTCTGAAACGCGCCATTTTAGCGAGTTTCAACAGAATTGCGTTGCTAGGCAACAGCTTGGGTCCATGTTTACTTCCTGTCAGCTGATGTCATTCATCTCAACCGCAACCGTAAATAAACCGGGCCACATTTAGAAGGTTTAAGTTTAAAACTGTGAAATGGTCGATATATATTATAGAGTGACATCAAAACCGTACAGAAATCCTGACGGCTCGTTTGAAGACACAGTTTCTGGAAACTGGCTTTGTGTATTTCTACATGGACTGAGCGTTTCAATGCTTTCACATCATTTATATAGCACTTAGACCTGCTTTATGATAAAAAAAGACACGTAAGTCTCACGTTTGGCAATATGGGACCTTTAATGACTTGATTTATTGAACTGATTGCTACACTTTCATCAGTGGGCCATAGGCTCAATCACCATTGTGTTACCTCCTTTGGCGATATTGTGCTTTAACAGGTATTTATTAAAACGAAAATCTTTAAGATTGCCACTTTGATTTAAAAAAAATCCTTATAATATATCTCCTTTTTAAAAAATGATAGTTGTACTACACTCGTATCCACTCGTGCTTCGAATAATTTCATCTCTCCATTCATTTCTTGACCTCTCTGACTTTCCTGTCATCTCTAACATGCACAGTCACGCACCACGAGCCCTCCTGTAATAACTCTCAATAGCAAGAAGGGATCCAGGCCACATAACTGCCTGGCCCTTTTGACCCGGGCGGCCTAGTGGTCAGCTTCATTTCCGGAGGTGATAGTAACTAAAACGGGCTCATTAAGGATCTCTAAGTGGCTTTTGGGTTTCTGTGTCACTCTCAGAAGAAGCTCTGGAGGTATATAAGACATGTGAGAGGCACCAAGAACAGAAGAAGCATTAGGAGCATCTGGAAGCAACACTTCAAATCAACCGCACCTACATCAAGAGATTTAGCGACAAGTGAGTTTTGTTTCCGCAGATTAGTGTCTAGATTTTGTGGTCTGTGGATGTTTTGGTATATTGAGTGTAACTGGTTTCTTTTTTCCTCTTTCTTCCACTTTCTCAGCAGAAATGACTGGAGCTGCTGTGTCCGTGTGCGTACTTTTTCTCCTGTCTGTATGTTCAGCGTGTTACATCTCTAACTGTCCTATCGGTGGGAAGAGGTCTATCATGGATGCACCGCTGCGAAAGGTGAGCTGCTTTTTCCAATATATATAGTAAATATATCATAAACTGACAAAGGTCTGCTAGAATCAAAGAGGTTTTTTTCATGTTAAGTCCATTTTATTCATATAGCCCAAAAGGGTTTTATGATCTACAACACCCTCTATTCTTACACCTTTGATGTAGACAAGGAACAACGATTAAATAAGCTGTTGTTGGTTAAATGTCAAAGTACCTCTTAGAACACTTTTATTTGAATCAAACCTAAAAAAAATCTGAGTTTGGACTGAAACTGTCATGCTCAAACAAGAAAAAAGGAATAAAAACCTAAAATTTCACTGTAGAGACACATAGCTCACATTAAATGCTCTACACTGAGCTAAACTGCATCCACATAATTCTAAATAGCTATAATAATCAATCAATTCCTCCTCCAGTGCATGTCGTGCGGCCCCGGAGACAGAGGCCACTGCTTCGGCCCCAGTATCTGCTGCGGGGAGGGCCTCGGCTGCCTGCTGGGCTCCCCGGAAACGGCTCACTGCGTGGAGGAGAACTACCTGCTCACCCCCTGCCATGCAGGAGGGAGACCCTGTGGATCTGAGGGAGGACGCTGCGCTGCTTCGGGACTCTGTTGTGATGCAGGTCAGGATGTCCTGAAGTATATTTGGGCAGTGGTGGAAGAAGTATTTAGAACTTTTACTTGAGTAAAAGTAGCCCTCTGTCAAAATAAAAGTCCTGCATTTAAAACTTTACTGAAGTGAGTAAAACTACAGCGTCATTATCAGCAACATTACCTTAATTAAAGTAAGGCAAAAATGGCTCCATCAGAGTTGTTCATTATACCATTAGATCGTAGTTACTGCATTGCATTACTATGTAAATGGCATTTTAATGTTGTAGCTGACAGTTGATTCTAGTTATTTCATACACTATTGGGTGGTTTAATAGACTGCACAACAATGTGTTAGGATATATATGCTCATTAGTGGTATTTAACATCTGAATCTGTAAAGCATCTATAACTACTAACTATGTAGTGGAGTAAAGAGTACAATATTTCCTTCTGAAACGCAGTCGAGGAAAGTATAAAGTAACATTAAACGAATCTCAAATTCTAAATGTACTTTGTTATTTTCCACCATACAGGATTGATTTATGTGGTTTTCTAGTAGTTATTTTGAATTACAAGCTTTGTTTCAGCTAAGTGGAACAAATCACTGTGTGTACAATTAGCTAAGCAACACACTGTCTTTGCGGTTGACGTCACTGTGAACTTTTCTTCGATCGTTTGCCCTCTTGTTCTGAAACAGTTCACGGCCCTGGGTCAAAAAACCTGATAACAAAATATTGTAAAGTCTGCAATAACACGACCAAGTCCTCAGTGATAACTTTGTTTGTTTTTGTCTGAACTGTTTCACAGAAAGCTGCACCACAGACCAATCCTGCCTCGTCGAGGAGGAAGGAGACGACCAGACCGGCCAATTCGAAGGAAGCGACCCCAGTGACATCATCCTCAGGATCCTGCATCTGGCTGGCCTCAATTCTCCTCATCGAGTTCGCCAATGAGCTGCTGCTGACAGCGAGGTCTCATGGGAAACTCTTCAGCCGTAGAGACGACGTGGGACTTGTAGTTGTAGTTCATATAGTTGTACCCCCATGTTTGTCCTCGCTCGTTTCCCTGGAGTACTTCTGTAGAGTGCCTTTGTCAATATATTTTTATGTATGAAAAAAGGGATGAATATTGACAGTGTCATCCAGATATCTGCATGTTGAAATAAAGTTTTGAGAGAGTATTAAATGTCGTTGTTTCTTTTAATTACGAGCACCTTGAATACAATTTGGCTGAAGTTTCAAAACCTCTGAATCGTTTTCTCTACGTGGCAAAGGATAAATCAGCATAAAGCTTATCGGGCTGCAGTGTAACACTATATTCCACTATCACCAAACGTACAAAGCCCACAGCCGTCTTTATCTTTTCAGATGTTTTCATAATCCTGTAACAGTCCACTGTGAGTGAATCCAAAGGGTCCTCACATGACGATGTGTGTGTGTGTATGTGTGACAATACATCGTGACAACTCATGTGACACAATATCACTGTTGCAACAGTTATGACGGTTATCTTGTATGGTAGTCACCTTTGATCCATTGTTTTTAAATTTATGGTTTGACCACAAGCTCTGGGGTTTTTTTTTTTTAAAGGTGAATGCTGAAAAATGAATGAAACACAGCAGGTTGACGAATTTCCTTCAGGAACACTGATGACAGATGATTGACATTGTGTTTGATTGTATCACTTTATCACATTTTAGTCTGAGCCGTGAGAGCTCTGTTTTCTTATCTTTAACCTGGTGACCTGAGTAAAGTATCTTTGTTATGAAATATAGAGAACAGTTCACGCTGTGTAAAGCAGTGACAACTTGCAGCAGGTTTTTTTACCAGGCTGCAAATATATGACAGCAATGATATGTCCAGTCAGCAGCTTTTGGGGTATGACTCATGTAATCAGATGTGCCTTCGGATGACATCATTACATTTATTTTCTATGCGTGAACCCCAAGTAACGGGCACTTGTCCTCTCCTCTGCATGAAGACCTACTTAACTTTAGCTAAGTCACTGAGTACCTCTTTTATCTCTCCGTCCTCATCTGCAGGGGYGGATCCGGAAGTGGGCGGGAGTTGCCTTAATTTCAGACACCTGTGGTTAATGATTGCAGCCCTGGAGTTTGAGAGTATAAAACAGGCAGTCAACCACTTCTCTCTCACCTTCACTGTCTGAAACCATGTCGTTCTCTGGAAAGTACCAGCTGGAGTCTCAGGAGAACTTTGAGTCTTTCATGAAGGCCATTGGTGAGATTACAACTCTCTTTCCTCACAGTTTTTTGACCGGAAGCTTTAAAAGTGTTTGCATTGGGATTTTGAACTGGGTTATTTAACAAAAAAAAGTCAGAACATGAGAAATGTATGCAATCAAATGGTTTTGCTGACTTGTCTAGTGATGTTTATCTTGTAATCACTGTAATGGGTGGTTTCTCAATCTGTTGCTTTTCTGTCTTGAGGTCTCCCTGACGAACTCATCCAGAAAAGCAAAGACATAAAGAGCATCTCTGAGATCGAGGAGGATGGTGACAACTTCAAAGTGACCGTCACCACCGGCTCAAAGGTCCTCGTCAACACCTTCAAGATAGGAGAAGAGGCGGAGCTGGAGACGCTCACTGGGGAGAAGGCCAAGGTAAGGCGTGCACTAAACTTAAGGATGCAGAAACCTGAACTAATGTTGTAAAATTGCATGTTACTTAATCCTCATGCACATTGATCTTGTTTTATGCCTCTTTAAGGCGGTGGTTCAGCGTGATGGCAACAAGCTGATGGTTAGCCTGAAGGGAATTGAGTCTGTCACAGAACTGGTGGATGGAAACACAATTGTCAATGTGAGTAGACAACATGAATTTTGTGACTTATCGAATGAATCTTAAAACATTTCTAATGTGACTTTTTTTTTCTCCCTCCAGACTATGACTCTTGGCAGCATTGTGTACAAGAGGACGAGCAAACGCATGTAAATATGGGATAATAAAAACGGTAACATAAAAAGCAGCACTATCTTGATTTCTGAGGACTTTTAGAAATTGCTTGTTTTTGCTTGAAATTGCTTGCTTTGTGTACTGGAACAAAAGGAGAGCTGTAAGATCATGGGACTGGATGCCTTTTGTGAGGGTGACGTGTTTAGAATTGGCTAAAGGCCACTTTAAACTTGACTGCAGGATGACATGCGCTAATGACATGAGTGTGCATCAAGGTAGGTGGGGGCTGCGAATCAAATTTTTATTTTTTTTTTTTTATTTTTTTTTTTTTTCCCCCACTCCTTGCAGAACATGACAAATTGTTTTAGCACTTCACACACAAGCCAACGAGATGAGCATCTTAACCTATTTCAAAATGAACTGCTGCAATCAAACCACCCATTTTCAAAATGGCACTTATGCAACAAAATGATTCAATGGTACAGTATGAATTATTTTGCAGAAATGCACCGACTTAACTTCATACAGTCTTTTTATTTTTGTTCCTCACAGGTGCATTTCAGGAAAATCTGAATAAAATGCTTTTGTTTTATTTTTGCAATTGCATGTTTTCACAACAGACAGAAGTAGAATTAATGGCTTATTGTAAAATGCCTGCAATGGAAATTAGTTTTGGACCCTGCCTTCTGTTGGGGTCTGGCCGCATCGCCTCCTCCACAGCACACGCAATGTTGTTCGCGTGAGGTAACTTGAGGTCTTTCTTGTGCTGAGGGTCACATTGACTTGTGTTCAATTAATTGTTTATCTGTGTGTTGCCAATTCAAGGAGCATTTTTAATTGTTTCCCCAAAGATTGCATGAGATTTCGTTCTTGAAAGTGTTTAATGTGAGAAACCTTGTGTGGTGTTTTGTAAGTGTGTTGCAGAATTGAAAACGGTGCAAAAAGTAAAGCGGGGATTGAAGAACATGCCTGTAGTCCACTGGGTTGACGAGATTAAATCGTCTTTGGCACAAGACGTATATTACAAAACCACTTTCTCAATGAAATATCCCCATTTCATTACATGTGTGCAGCTAACAATTATTCAAAAGCTGGTTGGGCTTCTAAACTTTCTTTCATGCTGGTAATAAATTACCTGGTTAAAATGTATCTGACTTCAGGAGCGTATAGCTAAACTATTGATGGCAATAGAGCTACTGCATACTTTCAAAAAAATAATACTGCTACTTTCAGCGCTTCCACTGGATTTGGAGTATTGAAAATAAAGTGTACAAGTACCACGTGAGATCTTTTTAATAAACAAAATGACCTTGTGACTAAATGTGCAGACTCACACACCAACACTCAAACTGTCAACAGTAAACAATGGGATGGTTCATTCTTGATTTTTTTTTTTTTTTTTTTTTTTTTTTTTTTTTTTACTTCCTCCGGTGGAAGAGATTCTTGATTCCCTCCTCCACAGACCTGGGTTCATGCATCATGGACATTGGCTTGTTCTTCAGAGCTGCCTCTCTCATACTGTGGTAAACGTACTCGTTCTGCTTGAACATCTTCAGCTCCATCTCCGTCTGCATACGCATCGACTATAGAGATATCAGGAAGGACGACACAGCGCTTTGAATGTTTGCCAATGAGTTAGTTATACTATATAAGTAAAGAATTGTGGGCTTGTCATTTTCCAACTACAACCTACATTTTGCTTAAAAAAAGCATTTCAGCTGAACCAGGGAAAAGCTTTCAGGTTTAAGGGGAGCTTACCTCCAGGTCCTTGGTGATGGGATGTGTTGGACCGTGGGTGACCATGAGAATGCCGTAGGCCCTGCAGATCATCCCATGGGCAGTCTCTATCTCCCCACCTTGCCAGTGAGTCACTCCTGCTCGCATGGCCGCCATACCGAGAGCAGCATTGTTAGGGTGGTACAGTTTCCTGTCAGAGGAAGATGTTTTATTTATTTTTTTAAATTATATTTCAGTCAGTGTGTTTCGTAATCTTATTATTGGATAAAAAAAAAAAGATGTGCATGTATATCGCAACACACTGCACAACATCTCTGTACTCACATGTATCCCTCCACCATTTTGCGGGAGTAGTCTGCAGCATCATTGAAGAACTGCAGGTAAGCTTGCACCTCACTTAATGTGCTCCACATACGCACCTGGTAGATGTGAGTGTTAGCCAAAACTGGCTCCGTCTTCTCTATGCAGTCCTTGCAGATTTTCACCACCTAAATAAAATAATAAACAGATACATTTTCAAAAAACATGGAAAGTAGGATTGAGCTCTAGTAAGATAAAAGAAGAAAAAACAAACATTTATCTGGTGTTGTTGGTGATTTAAAAACAATACCTCATGGTAGTTGCCACTTAGTCGAGCGTTGTCCATCTTCTCCAGCATTTGATAGCAATAATCTGTTGCCTCTTTCACTTGTTCCTCTGTAGGCTACGAGATGAAGATGGGAGACAAATCAAGAATTAACACACTGACAATGAAAGCATTAAGAATAATTATACAGAAATGTACAGTCTTCTCGCTGAATTATGTAGGTCACAGTGGTGGGCCGTCAGGGCCAGCTAAGCCTTCTCTGCTGCCCTAGACAGAATCACAAAGTTATAGCTATTTTATCATTTAATAATTTTTCATAAATACACTACAATTTTTTTCCCCATTAGCTTATCTTCTCATTGCACAGCTCCTGTCTTCCTCTGTTGCTCTGCTTCCAGCCTGCAGCGCTGCTTCCAGCACAGCTTGTTTTAAGGAGAGCTTTTATCCAATCAGATTTCACCTCTATGCTGTCTCTATAGAAGAGAGGCCCGAGGTCCTCTATGTAGACTTTGCAGTTTAAGTAAATGGGGAAGTTATTGTTGATTGTCGTAGTCTTCAACCAATCAGATCTTTCTGGCTCTGGCTGGAACTGAACCGATGTTCTGTACAACCGCGGTATTAAACTCTTTGTTAACAAAGAAAGGAGGATGGACTTTGTCTTTAAGTGAACAGCAGCTGTGATAAGTGAACTGCTTTTGTGTTTTTACATCTACAGTAGCGTTACTACTGTTAGATTTTCTATGGTGTTGTTTTTATGATATGGTGAATATTGTTCCCTCTGATGTGAATAATATTTGAATGGCTCATGCTCTTGTCTGAATCAGTAGGCAACAGCTACCTAAACCTGCGGGGAGAGTTCGTAGCTTGTGTGCTGTTGTTTTCCCGTTTAGCTAGTTTAGCGTAGCCTCAGCTGTTTTTTGTTTTGGTTTTTTTAGTTCCGGGTTGAGAGGTCACACAGCCCGTTGTCTCCTACGTGAGCGCAGTCCACCGAAAACATTACATTTCCCACAATTTAAGCTTCTACATTTTCCAAATGCACTAGTATAACTAAAACGTATTGTTTGGTTCGTAAGCCTCGTACCGAACGGTATAATACGAATACGTGTATTGTTACACACCTAGAAACAAATAATAACCGTCGCTGTGGTGTCATAATTAGGTTATTCAACTGCAGTAGGACAGCACAGAAGGCCCAGGTGTAAAATGCACGGCCCGCCACTGGTGGGTCATATAGAGACATGAGAGACATCACAGGTTTTCTTTGTCTTTAGGCCCATGAAGTGATTGTTATTTTTTTTTTTCTTAAAAAGACCTTTGACCTGCTGAAGGACGTCCAAGACGTGAATGTTTATCTTACTAGTAACAAACAAGATGTCCTCTGACACATGATCAGAAGACACTTCATAGTTATCATGGTGATTATCAGACACATAACAGCTCTGGTCAGAGTGTCAGAATGATATATACATACATGTAACTTGGGACCCACACATACAATCTACACTACACAAGCTTGTGTGTCTCATGTTAGACAGATCATGTGAAGTGTTGTCATTCATTGCCACACTTTGCTATGGTGTGTAATGCAGTGATTTACTCTTATCTTACTGCTCTTCTGATAGTGGTAGACTATAAAATAGTACATGGATAAGATAGTAAGGTAATGGTATGTTGTAGATCATTGACATACAGTTTCTACCTTTGAGTGAATTAAGTATTTTGTTTCTCTACCTCACGTGAAGAAATGCACCCCCTTACACACAGTGAATACATCAGGAGTTATCTTTGCTTAAAATAGTCACTGCGGCTCTGCTCCTCATGTTTCCCGTCTGTCCTTATCATGTGGGACTAAATCTAGAGAGAGGGTTCGCCTCTTCTCTGCCTTCTGCAGTATTCAAGTCATTATCTCACTTCACTCAAATCGACGGACACACACCTTGACTCCGTCCACTTCCGTGCCCGCCATCTTCAAGTCATCTTTGATGTGGCCCTTGCAGTGCTCGCATGTGCAGTCAAAGAAGTATTGTGCTTTCAGCAGTCTTCGCCTCTCCTCTGACAAATTCAAGAAGTCCACGTATGCGACCGTCAGCTCCTCTCCCTCCTCGATCTTACCGAGAGAACGCAGCTCAATCCTGAAGAAGAGGAACGCAGTTGAATGCAAGCAGAAGTGACTTCATTTAGGTTTCTTTCACTGACAGTTTTTGATTGATGGTGAAACTCAGTTCCATAGTGTGGCTTTCAGTCAATCCAGTCGAAGGATTGAAGGAATTAATGTTAATGAAGATTATTTCACACTTAAGGCAAAATTCAGTTCATTCATTTTTTTTTATTTTTTTTTTTTTGCAAAGATGTAAAACTGAATTTGGGATTTCTTTATTTATTAAAAAAATGTGTGAAAAATAAAAGGCTTAGAAATGAAATGATTTGGGATATTTACATGGAAAAGTTATTTTTGCCATGTTTTAGCCTGGTGTTAGATGGTGTTAGAAGTGAACTAATGGGAATGAAAGTTGTTACAAATGAGAGAAGCTTCTAATACACTTTCTTGATGATGGACAGACGCACGCTACAAACACACATCAACAAAACACACAAAGTGACAAACCAGTAGCAAGAGAAAGAAGCTATGTGTTGACATGACAAACGGTTAGAGAAATATCGGTGACTGAAAAACGAGCTTTCAGCAGGTCAAAAAAAACCTCATACCAGACTTTAAGTGAAGGTTAGAGCATTCAAGATGCATGTTGACATTTTGATGTGAAGTCTGAGTCACATCAAACCTACAGGTCACTACTGACAAAAACTTGTATTTTCTATAATCGACGGAGTGGGAGGGATGACGGCGGTAATATGCTGATAATGTCATGGTCTCAATGGTGCTCTAATAAATAAGACTTTGAAAAGGTTGAGGTTGAGGTAACGCACCTCCGTTGAGAATGAAACATAGTATTCACAGCCGATTGACTGAAAGACAAACAGGAAGCAGTTTTACACCAAATGCAACCTTAACAAACACATTTCACACACAATACACAACAGCACGCAAACGCACACCAACTCTGAAAATGTTTCACATTTTTTATCAAGTCAAGTTCAGCTGAATAAAAACAACTAATTCTTTCAAGGACAAACAGAAACTGAAGAGGTATTTTGTTGTACTTACTTGCCGTGGTTGAGGATCACGGTGCAGTTTGGCCAGCAGTCATGATTCACCAAACACAAATTTGGGAAAAGACCAACTCCCACTGCCTGAAGGCCCCTCTGGTCACTCACAGTGAAACCGTTACAGTTAATCTGAGAGAAAGAGGGCAAATATTAATGTGGACACAGAGCTAATAATGGAGGAGTTTGTGCAACTTGTGCAAGTTGAGGATTTCAAAAAATATCTACTCTTAAGTGTTATTGGAGACTACAGCTGTGGTAGTATGTTGTTCCAACTGATGTTCATAGAGATACATTTGAAGAATCTTAGCTTTGTTGTAAGATATAAACAAAAAAGGTTGGAAACAACAAATTGTCTCATTGTACCCCAGAACTGGGGCCTGTTGGGGCCAGCAGCTCTTTAATTTTACCACCCCCGGTGGCTTGTTTAAACGTTTGTTCAGGAAGTTTTTTGTCAACTCATGAAGTCTATCAGATACACTTCATTTCCATCAGGTCAGTCACTGGTCAATACGTTACACGATCTAAGCTGCAGGGTGCATAAAGTGTTATTGTTACTTGTTATTAAGCACAGGATATCACAGATAGATATACGTTTTGTGAATGCGAGTTAACAAGGATGTCTGAATGCATTCATTTTAGTCTCTGAGAGGCTGCCCTGTCTCAAAAAAAAAAAGCCCTTGATTTTGGATACAACTTGGGAAAATGAGGGATGGCCAATAACGTGATAACGCATATAAACACACCACTCCAAAAAAATGTGAAATGTCGTCAATCGTGTGCTGCTTGCTGGTGCGGGGCCAGTAGTCCAGGAAGTTGTGGATGTCCACTTTTACATCCTTCAACTCGTCCTCTTGCATGTCAGCAATGTGATCCTCCAGCTCCTCCAGTGTGGTCAGCTGCGTGTCAGACATCACGCTCCCCTCTTTGTCATGGCGCCACATGATGCGGGCCACCAAACTGACCACAAAATCAAAAACAACAGAAGAATAAGAGAGGTGACTACAAAAAAATCAGATACAAGTGGCCACCGGTCATTAGGGGCAGCCGGGGCATAGAGAGAGAACTGTGCATACAAATCATGTTATTATTGACTCTCAAAGGTTACTATCTGCTATAATGTATTATCTAGGAATATAGCATATTCCTAGATTGCATAGAATCTGTGTCATTACGATTTGGAGCATCTTTCTGAGAGGATCGCGAAACATCACAGCAGCGGGAGTCATCTGGACAGTGCTGTGAAACTGGGTTTACTTGGAGCGCATACAGGCACTCCATTGAGCAGCAAAACAGAAAGGAAAAGGAAAACAGGCACGTGCTCAGTCGGATTGTAACATGTATCAAACTGTGTGGAAAATGTGAATCTTTGTTTGGATTATATTCTTAAAGACATGATTAGGGTTGTAAATTGAAACAAAGCAAAAACAACTTGGTTATGTTTCGGCAACTAAACTAGCCATACTTGGTTAGCCTAAAGGTTTAGTAAAAACATCTTGGTTCTGCGTAAGAAAGGTAGCCTGGGTTTGTTGACGTTATTTAAGTTACGGACATAATAAAAATAAAAAATCGAATTGACTGGACTTAACTCATTTGATTGAATGTGGCTCTATGCATTCATGTTGTTTTGATCAAAATCCACATTGCACCAAACCAGCCTCTTCTTTTCTAATTTGGTAGGACGGACTAACAATAGTACACTGTAGCAAACATGTCTCAGCGTTAGTGTGTGGGTTCCTTACTTGTGTTTTGTCCACACACACACACACACACACACACACACACACACACACACACACTAAAAAACAAATTTAAAAAAACAATCAAGCATCATGTAACAACTTATTTCCCTTTCCTTCCACTTACCGGATGTTCTCGTTCGGTGTTTTGCCATAAGCTTTGATGGCACCACATTCTTGCTTGTGTTCGGCCCAGCCGGCGCGCTGACAAGTCCGGTCACAATAATGAGCAAATTTGCACTGGCCGCACCTCTGTAGCTTGTCTTGTGTGCGGAAACAGCTGTGGCAAATACGCTCCGCTAGACTGCAGAAAAAGTGTGGAAAGATAATAGTTGAGATAGTCGTGGATGGAAGAGTTCCGCGGGTTGGCTTTACCTCACTGGTGCCCAAATGCTCTGTAAGTGAGATATTTTTCTCCTTTTATATACATCTCTATCGGTTTGAAGACAACCTTTCAGATGAGCATTAAACTTAATTCTTTCTATATTATTTTTCAAATCACATCATGTTATCACAAATAATTCTCAACTCAAAGTCCCTAGTCTTCTTTACCAAAATTTGTACTCGGAATACGTGCACATCTGACAGTAAAGTCTAGCTGAATTTCTCAAATTTCTTGATACAGAACAACTACTGAATAAAGATAATTCCAATAGATCCCATAAAGTTCCTTCATGTTACCAGCACTTCCTTAGTTACAGTCATGTCACAATATTCCCGAGTATGAGCTGTCTACAATGGAGGCGCATGTTGTCTACATGCCATTACATCATCATGATGATGATGATGATGATGATGATGACGGTGATGATGATGAAGTGACATACTGTGAGAATATAGCACTCTTGTTTCAGTATCAAACCAGATTAAAACCAGGCTCTATGGACATCCAAAACATGAAACTGAAAGATATTGTGGATATATTTTGAATCTACAGAAAGAAATTAAAGATAATGTGTTGTTCATCAGCCCAAATATCCCCATAATGACCACACCTGAGCGCACCCTCACTATTGAGCGTCCACATCCCCAATTGGCATCCTTACACTGTACCTGTCAAACACAACAGCTGCAACACTGGGCTCGGCAAAAATGACGTCTCCAGCCCAGAACTCCTTGGTCGCCTTCAGACCCCTTCCCTTTCCAGGTGCGTCAAATATCGCCACGTTCTCCATGGATCCTGCACTGGTTCCTGAGGCGCTGATGAACAGTGAGTCAGTGGTGAACCGATGAGTGTTTCAGTGGTAGAGAGAAGCTAAATGCAGCGATGGTGTACTCATAGACCGATCTGTGACCTCTGTGTTCTTCAATGGCAACTGCACATTCCACACCCGAGGTACTAAAATAGCCGTCCTCTTAAACTGCACCAACAGTCGCAGAAACATGGGTTGATGGTGTTTTGTGTCTGTAGTCCACTGAGAAATAAAATGTCTTGTCCTGTCAATAAAGCCTTGTCTGAGAGTAACACCACTGAAACGCACTGTCGTTCTCTCAGATTCTTACATTTATTTCAATTTGTGGTCACACTTTTAGCTTTTTGTCCTGAAATTCCCCCCACCCCAACCATGAATTGGTAGGTGCCCGGGCCCTGAGGGGTTATTTTGGGCCCTCAGTTGGGGCTGTCTATCAAGAGTCTGTGGTGACGTTAGACAGCTGCGAGGAATTTGACAGAAGCAGAGCTAACTCTCTGCCCCTACTCTGTTCTGGTGCTTTCTAGAACTTACTCTCTCTTTCTGTACTTGCAACATAACACTTTGGGGGGGGGAGCTTTAGGGTCCCCAGAATGTACCCAGACCCCACAACATGTGTGTATTACCTGTTTTAGGTCCCCACAGTATGCTACAATGAACACACACACACACACACACATCCAACCTCACATTTTCATCCATACTTCTCCAACTTGGCGTGAATGGCAGTGCTTCACAGACCAAGTATTAGACAGCGTCAAACCAAAGTTTTGTCAAAGCCTGTTCTAACCCACAACGTCCAAGGTTTCAGTTTTCTGCCCTGCAATGTATCCAGATTATTATTACATCAGCATTCTCTTTCTTTAAAATGACCAAAGCAGTTTAATCTATCGATAGATGTATTATATGTGTGTATAACTTTTCATAGTTCAGCAGTAAATTAAAGTTGTGTTTTGCTAATGAACAGTTCAATGCGAAAATACAAAAGTGATTTGTGGATGTGTTTTATTTTCCTATATATACTTCAAACATGCTATACATCTACATCTTCTACATGCTATTTCAATCAACAGTTGTGCTAAAGACTATTTGTGCTTAACTTTATGCTTTTCACCAGCAACAAACACAAACAAGAGAATAGAAATAGATTGCAAAAGAAACAGGTTTTAGTAATTTTAAAAAGGAAAGAAAAAATAGGATAATATGAAGGAGTGACAATAATTAACATGACTTTTGTCATGTTAAAATCAATATCAGAGCAAATCTCATTAATAATAACAAAAAGAAGGTACTTTCACAAGCTCTGAGGCCTACAGACAGTACACCACATTTCCTGAAAGTTATTGTATTCTATATACCGAATGTGTCATCTTTATATGTCACAACATGTAGCTACTTTACTGTGTTTTATTTGTTTCTATACTAAGTTCTTTCATTTAAGACCAGTGGCCAAGAAATCTATCAATTCTTAAGCAGGCACTGTCACCCAATAATTTACAGGAGGTGAACACGATCATTCTTCACTCTGTCTCATATCGATATCACACTTCGAAGAAGTCGAGGTGTGCTCCTGAGATGAAGTCATCGTCCAGAAGCAGCTTCACCAGTTTGTCAGCAGACTCCTGGCAGGGCAACAGATGATGTTTGACGCCTGTCAACCTCAGAATCTCCTTCTGCATATCTGTCTCCATTGGACCTGAAGGGAACCCGAAGGATTAGCTTGTTCAAAATGACATGCATACTGGATGTGCTTACCAAATGTGGAGATACAGTATGTCCTTTCAGTTTCTTTTCTTTTATTCTACATTATAGATGCTGGCTACCAGGTAATAGTAGCAGATTTGATGCAGTTGTCTTCTATGGCTGATCTAATTTATGGCCAATAGACAACAGATACACGTGCATACAGTATTGTTGATGGACTTGAATTGCTCCTGTTAAAAATAAATGGTAACATAAAAATATCTGAGTATACAGCAACCGATCAAAATATACCTGGAGAGTAGCTGAGGACTTTGACATGTGGCTGCTCCTCAGCCAGCACCCTGAACATCATCTTCCTGGCTGCTTTGGCAGTGCAGTAGAGCACCCAGGACGGCAAGGGCTGCAGTGCAAAGGCTGATGAGATGTTCACTACGCTCCATCGCAGGAGCGGTACGCAGGGGAACACCTGCAGGATCCCTGCAGTCAGTGCCAGAGCAGAGCTCACGTTGAGGGACAGATAGGAGTTCACCTCCTCGATGTTGGTAAAACTCGCAAAGTTGGAGATTTCTCCCAAAGTGGCTGCGGGTAGAAAGAGAGAGAGAGGTGTGGAAAGGAAATAATAGAGAGGGATTAAAATCAGAGTGAAACGGAAGTTACACTCTGATGTTACACTGGTCTTTTCTGTGACCAGTGTAACATCAACTCACGGTAGACTAGCAGACGGCTGACTTTTTAACTAGCTTTTCAATTCTGCCATGCTTTCATGCAACACTGGTTACAGAAAATGAGCCTGACAGCAGTGTGGTGGCCAGCCTCACTCCACGCCATCGTGGCATTGAATAGGCCGCTTGGTGACAACGAAGACTTATTTAAGACTCACCAGCATTGTTGATCAGGAGCACATGATCTATTTCATTTCCAGCTTCCTGCCTCGCCATGCTGACTGTTTCATTGACCCCCTCTCTCGTGCTCAGATCGACAGCTACGCAGTGAACCACCGTCTGCTGTTCCTCTGTGAAGCTCTGCAGCTCTTCCTTCAGCTCCTGTAGCAGAGTCTCAGAGCGAGCCACCAGCAGGAGGATAGAGCCAGGCTTCAGCCAGCGGGACACCTGGACAGAAACGAGACATTTCTTTGTTTGCTGGTCTTTCTGTTTCTCATCTTACCTTCTTTCCTCAAGTTGATCACTTACTTTGTGTGCCAGCGCCCGTCCGAATCCCTTGGAGGCTCCTGTGATGATACAGATACTCCGGCCTAGAGTCCTGTGGTTTGTAATGTCGGACATCCTGACAGATCTTCTCTGGTGGGGAAAACACTGATTGCCAGTGGCGGGGAAACAAAGAGAAAAAGTGGACGTGCAAGGGGTATTACAGCTGATGTGAAATGAGAGGATGAAAGCCCACTGACATCTTGTGAGGAAGATGTGAACACAGCTGCTTTTATAACCCCAAGGTGTAAGCAGAACGAATGCATTGCATGGTCTACACAGTTCAGAGTGAAAAGAAAAGGATTCAAGCAATTCTGTCTGTAATGGGCTACAATGGTAAATGGAATAACTGGGCCTACACATTCAAAGGCTTCTAAAAAAGAATATTTTTAAACACTTTTTTTTTAAAAACACTATTTGATTCCGAATAATAATATTGGTATTTGATGCTACATTCATTACATTTTTTTCTTTTTTTTACAAAAAAGATTTTTGACTAGCTTAGTTCAAATATAAATTGTAATTATTTACAGAATATTAACTGAATGCATGAATATTTCAAACATTATCTAAGTAGGTAGAGACAACAACGGCCTTTGAGTCACCGAAGGCATCAAAAAATCGAATGATCCAAGACTTGTGCAATGACACATGATGACTGATGCTCCCACACTAGTGCCATTGTATTATTAGTGGTCTGTGGTGTCTAATTTGTAACTCTTCTGACCCACAATGTTTTGAAAACCTTTATGGTTTTCTTTCCTTTAAAAAAAAAAGTCAGTAGCAGTCTATAGCCAAATTTAAAGTAAAAAAGTGAATGATATGCCTATTCTACATAGACCAGAAGAGCAATAAATAAAGTACAAAAAACTATTCAATTAAATTATCAATTTATTATATTCTTTGGTATTTTTATCATTTAGCCTATAGAAATACAATGATGGTTGTTGGGTAAAATCTACGTCGATGTTGCCAAGTATTTATTCTATGCTCATGTGAAGAGACGTCACAATAACGGTAGCTAGTTTAGACGCAAAAAATCTGTCAAGACTGACAAGCTGAGCCTATCTGCAAGCCGAGCAACCAGTTTTTAAAACTTTTAAAAAATAAAGGAGGCAGTAAGTAACCGGGACCTGTTATAATAGCTGACACCACTGGGCCTTCTTATAGGTCAATGAATAGCATCGTTTTATTCTGCTTTTCTAGCATAAATCCCAAACACATAAAATAGGCAGTTAAAAATACAAAAATGCCATTAAAGTAAATCAGTAAAGAACGGTATACATATACATTCCATTTCCTAATTTGTATAAATAAACAAAACCTATGTTTTAGGCAAAGGTTCTACATTTGTGACTTCCCTTGAGCCAGCACACAGACTTAGCTGGGCTGGGTGGTAGAGATCATAGCGCCTCATAGTGGCCAAAGGGTGCCAGAGAATCCCTATAGCTATGAAACAGATGTAAAGCCAGTGTCTTTCCCCACCACGCTTACAGCAGTGTTGCAGCTGCGAAAAGTCCCAGTGCAGACTGCCAGCAACACAACACCACTGCCATCTCATGGACATTCAAGTACATTGGAAAGGCTTTGGAGCTTTGGAGGGTTGGAGGGTTGGATTTAATCATGTGTGCCGTGGGCCTTGGATGTTCCGCTCCCATCCTGCAGGGGCCACACTGGTGCTCCTCACCGCTTCAACAGGAAAGAATAAGGACGAGCAACAGAGAATAATAAGTTCCAATAAAAGTATTATAAGAGATGTGAGTAGAGGACATATAACAACTGTAAAGATACAAACATCTTCCAATACAAATCATGAAAGACAACACAATAGTAGAAATTTAAGAAAATGATAGCAACAGGAGGAGGCAAATCAAAACCAAGAGAATACATGAGAGTCTCAGATGTTATTTTATCATAATGATAATAATACTAGGAACAGGAACAAGAGCTCGATGCTAAAGGGCTGCACACTGGATAAATAAACATTGAGTGGAAGAACAGAACAGGGCTTTAGGCTGAGTGGTGTTGAGTTGCATTATGGGAAGTGTAGGATCCAGTATATTTGTAGCTTGACCCATATCAGACAGGGAAGAAAAATCAGGATATCTTGCCCTTTGCAGCATTATTTTAAAAATCTGTCTACTCCCAGGTCCTCCAACTTTATGGAGTACAATACTAATGTACTTAGTACATTGCCGAAGTAGTACTTTAAGTTGTAATCAGTGGTCGAATAACTAAATACATTTACTCAAGTACTGTGCACACTTATGTCTCTTTTTTTCTTCCAGAGGGAAATGTCATAGTTTTTACTTAACTACAGCTTTAGTTACTGTTACTTGAAAATGTATTACAAATTGCACACAAATAATAGGAAGAGTTTATATAACATTATGCTTTGTTATTAATTAACCTACCCAACAATATATAAAAGTGGTGAAACGATTAGTCCATTAACCAATTATCAGTTGACGGAAAATGAATAACAACTATATATATATATAAAGTGTTAAAGTCATTTTTAATGCAAAACATTTTATGGTTCCAGCTTGCTTTTCTTTTTCAATTATTCAAATTATTAATCATTTATTATTGATAACATTGAGGTTTGGAACGGTGGTTGGACAAAACAAGCATTGGGAAGGTGTTACTTTGGGCTCTGAGTGAACCAAACAATTCATCGATTCATAGGGAAAATAATCAGCTGATGAAGAAATCATTAGCTGCAGTACAACAAAATACTTTCAAAAAAATAGCTCCACCTCAACCAAGAGGAGTAAAACATAAGGCGTGAGTAATAATAATCTAGGGCTATAATATGCACACGTCACTGTCACAGGGTGATATTAGTAGTTTTACTCAGGTGAAGGATCTGAATACTTCCTCCACCTCTATATATTCAAATATTTGTCAGGCAGCATCACTACAGTCTCATCCACCTACAACCATCCATCCATCCAGGGGACTGTATATGACTCTATAGGCTTTTCCGGAGGGAGAGCACTGGACGAATGCCAAAAGGGGGCGTTTGTCTCACGCAGCCTGAGGGGCGGGGCCAGAGGTGGGTGTGTGTCTCTCAGCTGATGCGCGTATCAACCGACTCCATCATCAGCATCCGACGCTGACAGCGGTCGAAGACAGCGTCCCCAATATTACCGACCCACGGTAACAACGCAGAATAATTCAGAGCCCGACCGGGACTGAGGTTGCTGGTCTTCTGACAATATTATTTATTGAGGCTGCCATCTTACAAACCGCCGAGCTGCAAAACAGTGAGTAGCCTTTGATGATGGACCGCCAGGATGCTACAATCGGTAAATCAAAGCCACTGTCGTCAATGTCAATGACGCTGTGCATTTTAATCTGGATGTGGGCTTTTCTATCTTTTCTCTTTTTTTTTTGGATTCAGCGAGGGTCGTGCGTTTGTTTCTCGTCACGGGGCCTAGCGAGTAATTGTTTGGGAGCGCAGTCGATTCAGGGCTTGATGCGGATGCTGCTAAAGCCGCCCTTGCCGCCCAGGGATGCAGAGGAAAAAGGGAGAGGGGGAGAGAGAGAGAGAGAGAGAGAGAGAGAGAGAGAGAGAGAGAGAGA